ACTCACAGGTTTCCATCCACCTTTATAGCATGTCTTAATTCTTCTCTTGTTTTAGGAAGGGGCTGAAGAAAAGCTCTGCCCCTAGTTGGTTCCTCCAGCACTTGCACCAGGAGGTTGTACTGGGGTTGTGCAGGAATGCTGAATTTGGCCTATGCATTTATTTTTCACTTCACACAGCCAAAATAAAACAGAGGGTGAATGGATAATAACCCTGGGTTCCACAAGGACTGCACAGCCAAGTAGACTGGGTTTCTTCTAATATTACCAATGACCTGCAGTGAGAATATACATACAAAAATACACTACCCACTTCCTTTGGGATTTCATATGATCTGAAAGGTGTGAGTGACTGACTTTTCTGCTCCCTTATATGGAGCTCCCAAGACAAAAGAGAAGGTTGTTCATCGGGGCCTTTAACTGGGTCTTCTTCAGACACCCATTACCTTAGCTCAGGAGGGTCCCTTGCTTGTGTGCAGCATGCCGCTCAACTAGAATCCAGACAATTTCTCCTTCCTGTTATGATCTAGGGCCCTTTTCATTGCCACTGAATTCCATTAAGTTCAGTAGAGAACATCTCTGGTTTGAGGACTGCAAACTTCAGGGCTCCAACCCATAGACGGTTGACAAGTCATTTTCATGAACTGTAGCCTGACTCGAAGAGGCTGATGTCAACTCAGGTATGTGATTCGGTTTAACTCTTGATTCCCCAGTTTTGTAATATGCTGTCAATTGCATAAGAAATAATCCAAGGTAGTAATAATTTTGGAAATCCTGTCCTGTCACATTTTTCTCCCAGCGATAAACAATGAACCACTGACATTGACTTTGTTTGTTTGTTTTTATTAAGGAAAAGCAAGAATGTTGAAGGAGATCCAAATAGTGCTCTGGTTCCTTTTTTTCTTTGTCATTTCCATTTTCTATAAACTCTCCCTGAAGTCTGGCTGCATCTTCTCTTGCATGCCTATTGCTAAGCGATTCCTGACACCAGAGGATGTTATGAGCCAGAGCAGAAGCATCATCTTTGTGGAGATCACAGATCGCCTTGAGCCTCCTCCACTGGTTTCATGTTCTGTGGAATCTGCTGCCAGGATCTACCATGACAGACCTGTTGTTTTCTTCATGGCAGGGCTGAACAATAGCACATGGCTGGATTCAAATTCCACTTATCCAGCCTTCTCACTTTTATCTGCTATGAAGAATGTCTTCATTTTTCCTTTCCAGATGGAAACTTTGTTCCAGGAGACACCTCTGCTCGCATGGTATCATAAGGTGAGAGGAAATGTTTTTGAACAAGATTTAAATTAGAGATGGTGGAAAATGAAGCTGTTGTCGTTTTGTTGCACCCAATATGGACCCCTTGTTTATGACAGTTTGCCATGCATTAGTCAAAATACTTATTGAAATTGTTATGGACATTTACCATTTCCTGATGACAGGAGTTATGGTAAATGGAACATTTCAATAATGATTTTGATTAACCAATTTGATAAAATATGGTTAATCACCATCTTTTCAAAAAACACACTATATTGATAAAAAATGTTGTATTTGAAAAATTTCAGTCAGCATGAATTTAAAGTGAGCTTTTACTGTTTGCGAAAGTGCTTTCAGTGCTTCTTAAAGGTGTCAGAAACATCAATGAAAATGTCTGTGGACAAGCTCTAGAAGTAAGAGGGTTATTCAGAGGTCAATTTTGGGGGAAAAAGGCAGTGATGCTCTACAAAGCTCCACCCACCCCTCTCAGAACTGTTGTTCAGGGAGTTCACACCCTCTTGTTCCGAGTCCTTTGAGTCCTGTCTGAAAACTCAGGCAGGCATCACTGCATTAATCTGCACTTGTTTCATGTTTTCATGAGTCTATTGGCAACCATTACAGCTAAGGACTTCTTTATTTTATTTATTTTTAAATGAAAGTGGAGACTCTGGAGAATAAACAGGGAGCTGGCTGCTATACTGGTATTCCAGCCCTCCGTGCACAAGCATAACCCAAGACCTGAACTTCTCTCTCACTTTTTATCCTCTTTAGAGATTGCGAGGAGGGGCCAGTTCCAAAGCCCACTGAAATCAATTAGAATCTTTTCTATTGAATCCCATGGGCTTTGGATCAACAGTGAGTGTGTAAATTGAGATGAGGCAGGGTTGTGTTTATGAAAATTACAGTTAATGATTCATATTCTCATTATTTCATAAATATTGCATGTTTCCTTGGAGTTTACTGCACCTTGGAAACACTTGTAGAATCACGCTGAATGAAACCTACATCTGCTCTTGCCTTTTTCCAGCAAAGTTTCATAGCTGAAAAAGAAAAACAGCCATTAATTTTTAAAGGGATTAAAATGAGGATAGACACTGTTGAGAGTTTTATAGAATATATAGCTAATAGGATCAGGTGTTTAGAAATTTTAAAGTGGAGTCCATTGCATCTCTGTGATCCCTTTCCAACTCTGCAGGTAAATGCAGCCCAGGAAAAGTACTGGGTTCATATCAGCTCTGACGCCAGCAGACTTGCACTCATCTGGAAATACGGTGGGATCTACATGGACACAGATGTCATCTCCATGAGGCCTATTCCAGTGGCAAACTTCCTGGCGGCCGAGGCTTCCAAGGTCTCCAGCAGTGGGGTTTTTGGCTTTCCTCACCATCACTGGTTCATTTGGGATTGCATGAATGATTTTGTTCAAAACTACAATGGACGCATTTGGGGAAACCAAGGACCCATCTTAATGACGAGAAGGCTGCGAGCCTTGTGCAACCTGACCAATTTCCATAATGTGGAGGATCAAAGCTGTGGGAACGTTTCCTTCTTACATCCTCAGCGTTTCTACCCTATCCCTTACCCAGCATGGAGGCAGTACTACACGGTTTGGAAGAGAAGCCCTGACTTCAACAACTCCTATGCTTTGCACCTGTGGAACTTCATGAACCAGGGACGCAAGACTGCGGTTGCAGGAAGTAACACGTTAGTGGAAAATCTGTACAAAACATACTGCCCCACCACTTATAAGGACCTTATTCAAGGCACAGAAGGCAGTGGTCATATGCAACAAAACAAGACTGAATAACTGGATATAGCAGTATGAGGTGTTCTTTCCAGCCCTGATAGTCCTGTGTCTAAAATAAACTGTGCACAATGTGTACCTCCTCTTAATCAGTGTCTCTCAGCCATTTTCTGTCTGCAGACCACTTCGTAGGAGAGAACCTCTCAGAAACCACCTCTTTTCCCAAGTTTCCCCAGGACCTAATGAAATTTGTAGGAAGGTGGGGGTATAAATATCATGTAATCACCAATGGTAAGTATGTTTTGTCCTTTAGGGTAAAAGTTTCCAAAGCAGCTAAGTGATCTAGGAGCCTGAGTCCCACTTTCAAGTCATGTTGGCTTTGGGAGCCAAAGATCCATTGAAAATCAGTACCACCTAGGAACCCAAGGGTCAGATTTTCCAAGGTATTTGGTGCCTACAGATGCAGATAAGTGCTTTTGCAAATCCCATTAGGCATCTATCTGCATATTTAGGTGCCTAAATGCCTTTAAAAATCTGGCCTTTTAGATGCTTTTGGAAATTTTCCCCTGTCATTTGCTGTGTGCTTGTACAGCACTTTGTGCAATGAGGCCCCAAACTGGCTGAGGCCTCTTGGTGCTACTGTAATATCAATGTTCAGTAATAATGAATATAATGACAATCAATCGTAGCCCAAACTTTCCCCACTCAAAATGTTCATTAGCATTGTTTATTTTTCCTCTCTTTTGCTTCAGCTATGCACATGTAAATAAAATATCTACCCCACTCCAATGGCTCTGAATTTGTATTCCCCTCTTAAGCCTCCTTCAAGCTTCTGGGATGGAGTGAAGAGAAAAAGGGGTTGTGTTTATTCATTGTTTCCTATGGCCCTATTCTTACAGCATTTGGGCAGCTCACTTAAATTATTGAGTTTTGTCTCCCTACAACTTGTGAGGATGGGAAGTGCTATTCTCCCCATTGTACAGCTGGAAAACCAAGGCCTGGAGATGAAGGCCTAGATCCACAAAGGAACCTTGGCACCTAAAGCCCAGTTTTAGGCACTACCGCAATCCACAAAACCCCCATTCAGCTACTGTCTAACCCTATAGATGCTGAACTCATGATTTTAAGTTCCCTTGGCACTTACATTTCTGCCTCTAGTCACATGTGCTGCCTGCAAGGCCCAGTCTGATAGGTGTGCTCTGAGTATGCCTAACAAAATGGGCAGGGAAAGAAGCCTCCTTATAACCTTTAGCCCAGTGGTTAGGGAACTCACACCAGGTGAAGGGAACGCCAGTTCAATTCCCCCCTCTGCTTGTAAGGGGAAGGACTTGTAACCTAGGCTCCACACCTCTCAGGGGACTGACCAAGCCTCTGAGATATGGGGTATTCTCATGTGAGAGTCTCTCTTGAATAAGCTTGGTCCATTTTTTATGAATAATTAAATATGCATTGGGGCAGAGAAAGCCTGACCCTCAGTACATCCTCAGGCAGTTAGCCTCTGCCAGGCTGTGGCTATATTGCTATTTTTAGCATGTTAGCTCAATCAGTGGTAGCACATGTATATTTACATAATGTAAGAGACCACGGCACAGGCAGTGTGGCCAAGCAGTAACAGCCAGATTGGGATCCACACGGCAGGGACAGTGGTCAGAGGAATTGCTAGATCCAGGTTCAATAAATAAGAGTCGGGATCAAAATCAGCCAGGGTCAGAGACCAGAGAAAGCGTCAGGCTGCAGTCAGGAGTCAGCTACCTGGGGCACCCTCCAGGGTTAAATAGGGCTCGTGGCCAATCAACAGGCCACAGGGTACTGTCACTCTGGGTCACTTCCTTCAGCTCCTACTCTCCACCATGCTACCTAGCTGTGACTTTGCATGAGCTCTGGGTGGTGATGTCCCAGGCTCTGCAGACCTGGGTCCTCATCCCTAAATTCTTACACTTGTCCTGGAAATTACACCTCCAGCTGCAGTGTAGTTACACTTTAGGAGAAGAATGACAAGATCTTTCACCCTCGCCCCTTGTAATTCACCATGCTGTTCACCTCCACTCTGTGTTACAAATAAACCCTCCCCCTGTCTTCCATGTGGTATGATTTGCAAGCCACAACAGCAGAAAGTCTTCCCAGCTTTTTAGTCTCCTGGCCTTTTATTAGGGGGTTACATTTACTTAGAAAGAAATGTAAACTGGATTCTTTCACAGTGTTAATTCAAATCCTTTCAAGCCCAGACCTCGAACAAGTCTAAATAGCAAATCTGTTTCTGCTCTGCTAGAAAGGCTGTTTAGAAATCCAAAGCCCAGGGGTTGGGAGTTTAATAACCCATCATCAAATGTTTGCCATCTGTGATATGGTGTCTTTTGTAAACACAGCCGCTAACAAGCAGACTGCAATCTGTAGCGTTTTCTATGCTCAGCAAGTTACAGTAGAATTTACTAGCAGGAGTATGTACACATTTACACACGCACACGCGTAGTGAACCCTGAGCTCTGTTCCCTTAAATCATGGGGCCAGATTCTCCTCTCACTCACCACAGTCAATCAGGAGTAACTGCACAGAAGTCCCTACAGCTAAACCAGTGTCAAGAGGCTACACATCAGAGGAGAGTCAAACCAAGTGTTTCCAGTTGCCAGAGCAACAGCTTGGCTTTGGAGAGCATTTTACCATTTGTTTTTCCCTGGAGAAGCCCTCTCGGGGGAGGGGGGCGGCGCAGGCAGCTTTCATCAGCACATAGGCATGGGCTGAGGTGAGCTGTATTTTTCTTCTTGTGCTGAGACAAGGGAACTGGGATTTTGCTTGAGCTCAGCACTGACAGCTGCTTTTCCTGGGTGGTTTTGAATTTCCCGGTGGGAGATGAAGGGAGGGGTGTAGTGTTACAGCACAGGAAACCCTCCCTGTTTTCCACGCAGTTTTGCGTGGCCCCTCTGTGTTAGGAACCACTTTTTAACCCTCTGCATTCATCGCTCCAAGCCGACCTTTCTAGACTCTTTCCAAACTCTTCCTCTCTGGGGACAGGTAAGAATTTGCTTTTCTTGTGTCCTAGGGCTTGGATCTGCAGTCTCTTCTGGCCGGTCGAGTAATAAATACTGTATGTAAAAGTCTAGCTCGGAGGAGGGCTCTAGGCCAGTGTTTCTCAACCTTTTTGATACCAGGGACCAGCTTGCTGCTTTCCTAAACTGTGTCAGGGAGATCTCAGGGATTGCTGCCGTGCTCGGACCGATCCTTGAGAAACACTGTGTCTAGTTGGAAAGAGCTTCTGTTCGCTCTCATGCATTGGAAAAGGAAGTATTGCAGAGGTCCCGCTTGGTTAAGTATTAGCTGCTGTGTCATGTCCCCTTCCCCCTCCACTTGGCTGTGTGCTAAGTTTGCAGACGATGGGGGATTTTTTACAACCAGCCCATTAGACCTGGGATCTGCACACGGAATCCCTTCCTTGCTCCAGCAGTTAGAGGGTGTTCCTGTTGCATCCGTCCAGGAGAAAGAGAGTTTTGTGTGTGCGCCAATGATTTCCCCAGGAAGGGAGGTCTGGAGCAGGCATGCAATAGAGGACCCTGCCAAGAAAGGAGGGGACGCCAGCCCACTGCTGTCACTCACTCCGGGTCTTGGGGAGGGCTGTTAGCCTGCTAAGCTGTTTCTGAACCAGGGCCCAAATCCTGAAGTCCATCATCTGGTTCTGTAGCCAGTGGGAGATTTGCCTGAATGAGGTGAGGTCACCACCTTTGAAATGCAAACCCCCCAGCACCCTTATAGCTAGCCCACTGCAACCCCAACCCCTAAGGCAACTCCACAACACCCCACCTCAACAGCCATTTATAGTATCTGGAGAGAGAACACATATAGGTAAGATTGATAACATCACAAGTCTCCTCACTCTCCTGTGACTCAAACCCTCTTTCCCTCACACAATGCGCTTGTGTGTTGGTGGGCAGACAGACAGCTGTTCTCTTTTCAACAGTTTTGATCTGTTATCACTTAAACCATGGAAGTGGGAACACTGCAGTATCTCTAGCTGAACACAGACACTTTTACATATCCCAGTGTATTGTCAGAATAATGCAAATCTTTAGACCCACGTAAAAAAACCCAGCAGATTAAATTATTTTTCTGTCAATTGGCAAATCTATTTTAAAAAATGACCAGACTGGTCAAATACTGGCCAGCTGATAGCCCTAGACTGAGGGTTGAGAATACAACTGCCAGCATTTGGGAACTTTTTTTCCAAGGGACAAATTTCCAAATAAGCGGGGTTGGGGTGGGGATGGAGGGAGAGGCTACTGGCTCCTCTGTGTGAATGGGGTGCATTAGTCTTCCCCACAGCTCGAGTGCCTTTAAGGAGGGAAAAAAGGGCCAGCAAAATAACCAGAATGTCCCTAGAATGCTCAGATAGCGGGGGGAGGATAGGGGGTGGGAATGGGAATGGAGGGGTAGGAAATAATGCTGGTGGAAGATTCGATAATAATTGATCATTCTTAACACTTACTTACACCCTTTGCATGTTCAAAGTGCTTTACACACCTTAACTAAATAATCTTTATATTGTAAATTCCCTAGCGCAGGGACTGCCTTTTCCTTGTGGGTTTGTAAAGCACCTAGCACTGTGGGCTCCTAGGTGCTTTGGTAATACAAATAAGTAAGAGGAGGGGGAAGGCCCTCAGCCCCTCCAATAACCTTCCCCTAGTTTTCTAATTGTTAAAACAAACTGTCAAACATCATATCACAATATACAACATAAATATTGTTAAAGCAGAGCCTAAGAAGTTCTCAAGCAGCATTTTTCTTCCTTTGCCTTCCTGTATATTTTGATTATTATCTATGGAAATATTTTTGTTGGTTTGTATGTGTACAGTGAAATGAACATTTGCCAACATTTACCGATAAAAATCTAATCTTTCCAAACCTAGTTGTAGACTAGGGTGACCAGACGTCCTGATATTTCCTTGTTTGTCCCGCGTCCCGACCAGTGATCAGTTTATTCCCTGAAGTGACTGATTCCCCATCTCCTCACCAGCAGGACTATATTCACTCTTTCTTTCACACTCTCTAAAATACTATAAATATATGTAATACATAGAGCATTGTGTTCTCTATAATTCTGTATTTCTGCAGTAGCCCTGTGGTTACCTTTGCTATATGTAAACAGTACAGGGCACTTTCGACACTGTTATTACCTAGGCAACCATAACAGGAGTTGATAACCCAAGGCTAGAAGTGATCCCTGCAGGTTTCTGTTTCACAGAGCGCTGCTCAGCATTCCCGTCCCCAGATCATATTGCATGTCACATTGCATGACAGTCCCGCTCTCGGGCCCCCCCTTTGTTTGTCACAGTAACAGTGAAATAGATGTTTCACTGCAGGACACAGAAAACTGACAGCAGTTGGCTGGTTAATTTCAGCTTGTGATTAACTGTTATGAGCCAGGGCTGGGGTTTGTGGCTGTTTTTTCACAGTGCCTGGCACACTGGGGTTCTGAGCTCAACTGGGGCCTCTAGACGCTACCACAGTGCAAATCCTAAACAATGAATAGCAATCATTACTTCCACAGGCCAGAAATATGGTGCATCCAGGTATTAGTCATGGGAACCTTACCATTAGGGTTGCCAACTTTCTAATTGTACAAAACTGAACACCCTTGCCCTGCCCCTTCCCAAAGTCCCCACCCTTTCTCTGAGGCCCCCCTCCCTCTGTTGCTCACTCTCCCCC